TTTGAAACAGCAGAAACGAGCCTGCTTTTATACAGCTGCGGACCGACCACGATTTGCATGCGAATCACGAGGCAACGAGATTTCACGTTAACTGACCGAGACCACTGGCATAAAACGCTGGGCGCCGCCATTTTGGTTTTCTTTTTTACAGTTGGAAGGACCAGTGTTTACATACTGCGCAGATTCAACGCGCTTCCGAGGTAGGCCATTTTCACAATTTTCCCCACACCCCCTGATCTCATGATCACAAACAGGGCAGGGAGGTGGCGATCGTCGCCGTCGAGTCCCTCTCCGAAGGGGGATAACACAAGCTTCATCCTCGTGTGTGTTCTCGTCTGTGGTTTGAGTGTCGGTAAACACTGTGTCCGCCGGGAGGCTGCTGTTATCAGAATCGCTGCCCTGCAGGTCTAACTCAAGGCAGATTGAACGCCACTACTCCCAGACTCGAATCGCTTTCATCGCCGGTAGCGGTAGTGATTGCGCCACCGTCGCAAGTCTTTAATGTGACGAGGCACCCCATCAACTCTCACAGATTGCGGGCTGATAACCTCCGTGAATACGTCCAGTGCCGTGCTGTCGTTACACTTGCCGCATGGGTTTTTGACCCAAACGATGTCTCCTTTTTCAATCTCCCTCCAGTCACTTCTAGTTCAGGCAGCGGGTTGGCTTCGATGCCCTTCACGCGACATGATATTTGTGCAGTGCATCAGCCGCGCCCGTGGATGGTGAAATGTTATCCTTCGGGCGACATTATACCAGTAAACCGCTTCGAAACTGTGCAGCCCTTCCTGGCTGCGATGGTCTTGATGGTTCTGTGGTTCCGCTCCACGATGCCGTTTCCACTTGGCGAGTAGGCACATCGAAACCGCAGATGCACGCCCCAAGTGTCCGCAAATTCTTTAAAATCTTTACTGGTGAACGCAGTATCGTTATCCGTCAGTATTTCCATGGGTGGGCCTCGCTCCAGGAAAACATTCTCCAACAGTCGAATGACGGTGCTCGCGTCTTGTCTGCGCAGCGGGCCGCCATACCGCCGAACCTGGAGGGACCGCAATCAATGAGTGTTAAAAAATTCTCACCATTGTAGTGAGTTATGTCCATTGCCAGTCTGCTCCAGTTGCTCTTCACGCCAGTTCTCCTCTTTCCCAGTGAATGGGTGCGGATCGATCGACTGACAGGTTGTGCAGGCCTTCACAACGGATTTAACGCTTTCTCTGGACACCTGCGGTCGACTAACCTGGCGAAGCACAGAGTTCGTTTCACGCCCGGATGTCCGCATTGACGATGCGTGATTGGCAACCTGGTCCTCATCCAGTCGTCTCCCTGCCACTGCACAGCTCTCGAAAGTGCCGGTTCTCCTCTCTTGAGCAGTTCTAGCCACCTGTGCGGTACTCTGGTGAGGCGATCTGCACGGTTCTGACAGGACTGCACAAGTGTCACGCCCACGGTCAATCCATATTCGTCCACCAACGATCGCAAAATGCCCAGCCGTCGCCTGACCAGCATCTCACCAGCCGCCCTTTGTGTTCACCCGTGCCTTCCCGGTCAAGGTGTCTGAAATCCACCAGTGCACACACGCCGAATCAGTGACCAAGTGCAACGTTGTCGCCTCCACTGGAGAGCCAGATTCACTCCTTTAAGCGCCGCGATCGAGTTCAGCCAAATTAATGTGCCTGGCATCATTAGTCGGACGCAGCCAGCACGCATCTTCGATGACATTTCCGTTTACTTCCAATGCCACTCCTGTCGCCACGGAACTTCGCATCCACCCAGACTGTGATCTCGTCACCACTCATGCACCAGTCTCCTCCGACGGGATCCAGTTCCGCACTCTACTTAACATCTCTGCTAGTATGCGACAGAGAGGGGATCTTTGATGTTATCATCCCATCCATTGGTTGCTGCGGTTTGCCAGGCGCTTGACGAATGCAACTGCCACCCTGAGCCATCCACACACTGGGAAGTGTCCAACAAGTTTCCCACACAACGAAAATACGCGCCCGGGTCAACACATCAGGGGCTTCCGGAATTTGACTTCCTCGTTTCCATCGGAGGGTGCCATTTTCTTCCCAGACCTGCAAGCCAAGAACTCTTGCTCCATCTCTCAGTCGCACCGGATCCTTGCACACCAAACCGTAATCCGAAAAAGTGTTGTCTTACACGCGATGCAGAGGCCAAACTTTCATTAATGAAGATATCATCAACGTATGCTGATGTGGCACTTTCAATTGTGCGGTCTTGCGATGCGATGGCGTCTATAACGGATTTCATGATGAGTGGCGCCACATTTAGCCCAAATCCTAGCCGCGTAAGACAGAAGCGTTGGCCTTTGAAAATAACCGTTTGAAATGGCCTGGCGCTTCGTCGATGTGAATCTGAAGATATCGTTCCGCAGATCCAGAAGCGACACATTGACTCCCTGCCGCCGCCCGTTCTCAACTTATGTGCGACACTTCTGCATCGGCAGTGAAAGCATCCACAAAGTCGTTCAATTCGCTGTAATCGAGTACCGGACGCACCTTCTGTTTCTGCTCCTGCACGACTGCCATCAAGGGAATCAGACCCTTTGGGGGTCCCAGTCTTTCCTGGGGTACGGAATCAGCCAGCCGCTCAAAATCCACTGTTGAAGCTCTTTCGTATTTTCCTCTGATGCTGTCTGGAACTTTGTACTCAGCGACCTTGTTGCGAAGCTGAACTGGCGGGTCTTTTTGGGCCCATTTCCACCTGGCGGTCCACACTCTCTCGTCCGGAATTGAAGGAGACGTCGAAATCCGCTCACTAACGCAAAGGGCTGCACACACTTTCTTCTTTCACCCAGTTCCACATTTCCGGCTGGCGTGATCATCATGCCTCCTAACGCCGGATCGCATCAATCCCAAGTAGCAGGTCATACCCGAGGGGCCTTTGACGTGCCACCAAGACGCCGACTTTGGCATGACTCCCTCCGTCTGTTAGGACTGACACAGTCCCGACACCACAACAGGCCCGGACACCCGTCAATCGTCCGATCTCGATTTGTTGACTGTTCCATGTCACGATCGATCCGCGCTAACGATCGATCGGGAACATCCAGTGTCAACGGCGCCCGAACATCGTTTACCCTCAACGACACACGTTGATAACAGGCAATGCCGCATTTACTGACCGAGAGGGGCAAGGGTTGCGACAGCACCTTGTCCCCGGACTCGCTTCCCGAGCAATCCTGTGCTACATGGCCTAACTCTTTGCAGCGATAGCAGCGTGAGTCGCGCACGGTTCCGCCTGCCGCTCCTCCCACGTCACTTCGCCCGCAGTCCCTAGAGAAATGGTTGGGTCCACCGCACTTGTAGCACTTTGGGCCCTCCCTCGGTGTCTCAGGCGTTCTCACGGCTGCCGCGATCTGTTCCGTGTCCTTCAAGATGTTTCGGGCCCTGGCTAGCAATTCGTCAATTCCCAGTGTGTCCAATCTTGAAGACGCCGCAGGAGCCGACTGGTGTCGCCTGGAAGCCCTGCCAGGAAGGCGCACCCCAGTATCGCGGTCCGTTGTTCCGTAAACGGTACTGCCAGCCTTCGCAAATCAGCCAGGTAAACATCCACGGTCTCACCTGCTCGAGCCGTCGTCCGACGAACTGTTTCCAAGCGATGAATGGATCTATTCCAAAGGCCGTATACAGGGCGTCCTTGATCTCTTCTAGGTCAGCATCGTCCCCGACTTGTTGATATACGTAGGCTCCTCCCGTGAGTCTCAGTGGTATGACTAGTGCATGTTCCTTTATTTTGGACACCCTGCAAACACGTTCGGCCTTTTCAAACCATTCAACGATAGTCGGGCCCGTGGGGGAGCCGTCAATTCTGGGATCAACTTTAGATCGAACTTGTCCATTGCGAAATAGCTTGAAGTGTGTAACTCAACAATTCAACTGGTGATAGCAGGTAGGCACAAAGAAAACCCGTGTCGCACGTCCAACCTTCTCACGAGCCGAAAAGCCTTCTGTTTGAAACAGCAGAAACGAGCCTGCTTTATACAGCTGCGGACCGACCACGATTTGCATGCGAATCACGAGGCAACGAGATTTCACGTTAACTGACCGAGACCACTGGCATAAAAACGCGGGCGCCGCCATTTTGGTTTTCTTTTTACAGTTGGAAGGACCAGTGTTTACATACTGCGCAGATTCGAACGCGTTTCCGAGGTAGGCCATTTTCACAATTTTCCCCACATATATTCACTTATGTGCAAATAGCTTTAGGGAAAGTAAGAATCCATGTCTCATCTCCCCAACTATGGATTAATTAGTAAGACTTGTATCACTAAACCAGTATTGTCACAAAAAAAAAAAAAAAAAAAAAAAAAACTTACAATCTAAAAAAAATATTTTCTGACTTTAAATAACCTGCAAAAAGGTCGATAAGCCATAGAAAACGAAACAATCATAATCCATTTTTTTTCAGAATCTATCTTATTTATAAGACTACCATTTATCCTTGCTTTGAATATTTTTGCTACATCTGGTCTGCTCTATATTTAGAGATTCTAGATAAAATCTAAAGAAGAATCTGCAATATTATTGGTCCTGACCTGGCATCTTGACTTCAAGTCACTTTCCCTTTCTATAAATATTTTCATGGTAACTGTTCTGACGAACTTCCCTCTATGGTACCTAGACTTTATGAATTTAAGTGCAGTACTAGATTGGCTGCATGGTCTTAGCATTTTCCAATTGAAATGACTAGATGTAATCTTAAGTTCTATGCTAACAGTGTCTTCTCTCGCACTTCTCACTTGTGGAACTTTTTTCCATTTTTTTTTTGCTTCTCTGTCAACTTTGATCTTCAAAAATTTAAATACAATGTCAATCGTTATCTTCTGTCATCTAAATTGTTATTTTTCTTGTCTTCTCTTTTTAATAGTATATTTTTCTTGTATTCTCTAACACTCAGTAACCCCTTATGTCTTAGTGGCTTTATTGCCTTGCTTGAAGTGAAATGATTAAAATTTTAATGCCCCTAGTTTTACTTACTTTACTGTGTGGACACGACCGAGACAGTCCGTTGTAATGGAACACTATGAAATGATTTGGACATCCCTGGCTACCTTCATCAGGATAGAATTCTTGCATGAAGCTGCTCAGCGTTATAATTCCAAGATTTTCAGAGTCCAACTTGTTACGAACGACATCGACACTGAAAGAAAAAACAGAAAAAAAAAAATAAACAGCTAAAATGATCTTCTGTATTCTTTAGCGTTTTTTATAAAAAAATTTTTTTACTTTAGTCTGTTTTATCCAACAAGGTGTTTAAGGTGAAACTGAAGCAGAGTTGACTAATTTAATTAATTAATAATAAAGGGGAGAATAAGCATTTATAAATTACATTTTATTTCACCATAGTGAAATTCAAGTTGCATGAAAATCAAATTTACATATGACAAAATATCTAATAAATTATTAAAATAAAAAGATGTGTAATGACAATTTAGTTAACAGAAATTGTGCAATCTCATTTCATTCAAACCATATGAAGAGCTGAAGAGAGAACTTTATTAGCAATTCTTATTGCTATTGTTTAGCACTAACATCCTCTGGCTTGCAGTTCTTATTTTAACAAATATTGTTTAGCATTGTCTAGTGTTTATTTTCTTATTGCAACACAATTTATATAAACATAGCAATTATCTAATAATGAAATTAAGATATGACAGAAAATCTTGAGTACACATTCACATAAATCAAATATTTCAAAATAATCTGCAATTTCTGAAAGTCAAAGACTGGATATGTTCAATTCTCTTGGTCCAGTGAAGAAAATAAAGGCCTAAATTCAAGTGAACTTTAAAATATCCAGGAAGACATTCAGATTTGAAGAGGGAACATTTTAAAACATTTTACAAGATAAAAATCTGATAATAAGCATGAAAAATTATGATTAAAAAAAGGTTAAAAAAAAAAAAAAAAAAAAAAAAAAAGGTAAATATTTATCTGATAATAAAATAAAGAGAAGTTGCTTTTTAGAGAATTTTCAAAAAGGTTAAATCAACAGGCACTGGAACAAAAAAAAAAATAAATAAAAAAAAATGCTTATCTGAAATTACAAAAATGATATTTTTTAAATACAAGGTTAGAATCAGAGTGTGAAATTATGAAGTAGAAAATAGAAAAGTTTCAAAATGATTAAAAAAGATTTTTCATGAAAAAAATATGACAAAGAAAACTGCCCCAAAATTCAATTAAAAAAATATCAAAGAATGAATAATTAACCTGTGGAATAATTGAGTAATCCCATTTATCGGTTACTAGCATATATTACAGGATGCTGTCATAAAACACTCATCTGGCACAAAGATAAACATATCTCAGGCATGAGTACTGATAGATTTATTTCACAGTCTCAGGATTATGGAATATACATATTTCACCAACACTAGAGGATAGAGTGACATATAATTAGCAGAAGTATATAGAAAAATGTTTATCTTGCACAGACTTACTTATATAGAAGAGATGTATGGAAACAATTATCAAATACAGAAGTCAGGAGAGGATTATATGGCAAAAGTGTATGTAAAGACCATTTACTTAAAAACATTCATCTCAACAATGCAGGAAAAAGAGACATCTGATACGAGAGAATATTGGAGAAACAATCTGGCACCAGAATATTTCAGGTGACACAATTATCTGATATTGTAAAATTACAGAAAACACATTTAAGTAAATTTCAATAGACACATTTACAGAAATATTTTTAAAGATACTAATCTGGCATAGAAATATTTTGAGAGACAAATTTATCCAGGAAATGAAGAAAAAAAGAAAAGATACTGAGTACACTTGATATTTTTTTATATTTCAGAAGATAATTGACAAATACAAGCTGAAACATGGACAGAGAAGCCATTAGGTGACTCAAACTTGGCAAAAAGGTGTGCTTTAGAATTAGTTGCCACAAGAATCTTTTCATGATAGAAAATTGACACTAGGAACACTTTATACATATTTGACAAAAGAATCATTTAATGAGACAACTTAGCATAAAGAGGGTTTCAAACTTATTTGGTAAATGAGATACATATGAAACATAAGAATCATTTCATGATACAAACTTGGCATGAGGTACACTTCATAATTATTTGATGCAGGAACCATTCAGTAATATGAACGTAGCATGAGGTAGGCACCAAGCTTTTCCAGTAAAGGAAACATTACTGATATGTCAGCACTGTGTATTCTTCAAACTTAAGTAGAATCAGAACATAAAAACAGATAAGGACATTTGGAAATGCAATTATTACAGAAATTATTATGTGATACACTTTTGGCTCAAAGTAGGCTTTACATTAATTTGATCTCAAAATCATTAGTTGACACAAATGTGGCACAGGGTGCAATTATATATTATATATATATATATATATATATATATATGTGTGTGTGTAACAGAAAAACAGTTTGAAAAGACATTACTAAAAGAATAATTTTGTGATACAAGCTTTTCATGAGATATGTGTCATATTTACTTAGCACAGTAATCATTAAATGGCACAATTTTAGTAAAAGATATACTTCATACTTAATTGGCAGAAGAATTATTTGGTGATACAAACTTGTCGAAATGTATGCTTTAACACTCTTTGGCAAAACAAATGTTGGACAAGGTATAATTTATACTTACATAGCAAACAAATAATTTAATACTACAAACTTGGCAGGAGGCATGGTTCATAGCAATCATTTAGTGAAACAAATGTTGCACAGGAAATGTTACCGAGAGAAACTTGTACATGTATCATTTAGTGATAGCAAATTGGCACATGAAGCGTTTAGTGCTACAATATAAATATTAGAATCAGACTTATCTGGCACAGGAATGTTTTTGTGATATAAAAAAGGAACAAGGCATGTATCATATATATTTGGCACAGGTATCATTTAGCGACATAATCTTTGTAGTAGAGAACCTTCAAATTTATCTGGCACAGGAATCATTTGGTGATAAAAAGAAGGCATGCTTCATACTTATTTGGCATAGGAATCATTTAGGGATACAAACTAAGCACAAGGTATGTATCAGTTATTTGGCATATGAATCATTTAGTGATACAAAGTTGGTACAATATACTTATTTAGAAAAGTAATCATTTAGTGATACACATCAGATAATAGCGAACATTTACACTTATCTGGCACAGGAACAATTTAGTGATACATGAGGTACATTGGATACTGATTTCGTATTGGAATCATTTAATGATAGACACTAAGCATGAGTTTCACCACATACGTACTTGGAATAGACAGCAGCAACTTGCCACAAGAATCATTTAGTAACAGAAAGTAGCTAACAGGGAACCTTCACACTTATCTGGCACAGGAATCGTAGGGAAACAAACTTGGCACTAGGTGCACTTCATACTTATTTGGCAGAGGAGTCATTTAATGATACAGACTAGGCATATTGTATGTTTCATACTTATTTGGCACAGGAATCATATGCTGACACAAACTAGGTACAAGCTACATTTCATATTTATTTGAAAGAGGGAACATTTAGTGATACAAATGAGACACACATCTTATTCACCTAGAAAAGGAATTTTTGTCATAAAAACTAGACATGAGGGTTGCATCACAATTGGCACAGGTACCAGCTAACCTTCACACTCATCTGGCACAGGAATAATTTAGTGATACAAACTAGACACAATGTACACTTCATACTTATTTGGCACAGGAACCATTTAGTGATAAGAACTTGGTACAATGTTAGCCCCCATGCACAGGTACTAGGGAAAATTCAAAGAAATCTAGCACAGGAATCATTAAATAATATTAACAAAAGAATCATTGAGTGAAAGTATTTAGCCAACAGGGAACCTTAACAATTATCTGGCACAGGAATCATTTATTGATTCAAACTTAGCACAAGGTACGCTTCATACTTATTTGGTACAGGAGTCATTTAAGTGATACAAATTAGGCACTAGATACATCACATATTTATTAGGCACAGAAATCATTTAGGGATACACTTTAGCTAACAGGGAACCATCACACATCACGTAAAACGAATGTCTACTGATATGATCTTGGCACAAAATACTCTGCGAAATTGAATTTGGGGGAATCATTTAGTGATACAAATTACGCATACTTCATACTTATTTGAAACAGGAAAAATTTAGTGATATAAGCTAAACACCAGTTACCCATGACACAGAATCATTTAAAGAAACAAACATTGCACAAGTTACGTTTCATACTTCTAGACAAGAGGAGTCATTTACTGATACAAACATGGAACAAGGTACACTTCATAAATATTTGGTACAGGAGTCATTGAGTGATACAAACTTGACAAAAGATATGATTCATAGTTATTGGGCACAGGAGTCATTTATTCATACAAAGTTGACACAATGTATGCTCCATATGTATTTGGCACTGGAGTCATTTAGTGATACTCACTCAGTACTTTGGCACAAGAATCATTTGAAGATACACTTTAGCTAACAGGGAACCTTGACATTTTGCCAGCACAGAAATCATTTAGTGACACATAATTGGCTTGAGGTACGCTTTATACTTATTTGGCATAGAAATTATTTAGTGACACAAACTTGGCACAAGCCATGGTTCATAATTATTTGGCACAGGAGTTAGTGATACAAACATGGAACAGGAATGATAATGTGATACAATCTTGGCACATATTTGACACAGGAATCATTTGAGGATACACTTTACCTAACAGGAACATTCATATTTATCTGGTATGGGAATCATTTAGTTATACAAACATGTGATGTGGTACACATTATACTTATTTAGCAAGGGAGTCATTTAGTGATAATACAAGGGACGAGGTATACTTTATACTTATCTTGTACAGGAGTTGTTTAGTGATACAAACTTGACACAGGAATAATACACTTAAGCTAAAAAGGTACATTCACACTTACCTAACTAACGAATAATTTAGATCTTTAAACTTGGTACAAAGTACTCTTCGCACTCATTTTGTACAGGAGTCAATTAGTGATACTACTGGGCACAGTAATCATTTGAGGATAGACTTTGCCTAACAGGGAACTTTCACACTAATCTGGTACAGGAATCATTTCGTTAGACAAACTGGGAAGGAGATACACTTCATATTTATTGGCACAGGAGTCATTTTATGATACA